ATGTCAGCCCCATCGAGCAAACTTCAGATTTGGCTTGAACCACACCAGACACGTGTCAGTTTGGGGGGGAAAGGTTGTTTATGCCAGCCAGGGTGCGTATATACGGTGTGCAGCCTGGGTATGTTGGGACTTCCGTGCATGCACTTCCGTAGTGGGGTGGTGTATTTACTGGTTTGTGGTTTGCTTCCCACTGTCCCCAGAGCAGAGACACAGCTGTGGCAAAGGTACCGCTAACAGCTGCGAGGTCACCCAGTGCCTATCGTAAGAAAATAGAGGAAACCCAAAATGACTACGCATCTGCTACCCCCTTCTTTATCTAATGTCATCATAACAATGAGTGTGCAACTGTCCATGTCCATCCTCAGCTGCTGAGTGCTGGCTTGTTGTTGAGATACAGTCACGGCATCTGAGGTACCCACACATGCACGATGACGGTACATTGACATTGGAAACTGGCCTGATGTTCTTCACAAAGAAAACGTGTCCCACTCTGTCTTGCCTTGATCTTTAGATTGAAGAAATGCTAAATGAAGTAAAATCCAGCAACTACGTGGGTACTGGAGAACAAGTGACAAAAATCAATTTAGAGGATTTTATCAAACTTTATGTAAATCATCGACCTGCTTTTGGCTTGTCAATGAACAAAATACAACGAGCGTTTCAGGTTCTTGGTTATGATAATGAGAATGGAGACAAAGTTATTGACAGAGGAGACTTACTGTGGCTGCTTCAATGCAGAGGTGAGTTATTTCTTGTCTAATATTAGTTTTATGCTTGCTAGTTCTGCCTTCAATTTCAGAACGCATTCACTGCAGCAAAAAATGAATCTGGAACTATAGCTTGGTAACCAGGGCAGGCATGTGGAGCAACTGTCTTAAGATCTTAAATTGAATAATCACACCTATTCTCTCAGCTGCACTTCTTTTCCTGGTCTGGAAATCTCTGCTGGCCTCAGGTATCTTGTCTGGCAAATGACGAGTAGGGATTTTGGCAAATTGCACCTTTCTTTCAGTGTGTCCTTATCTGAATCATTGTTCTCTTTTCCAGTCACACCATCTCTGGAAAGGCAGTATAAAACTGACAAAGAGGGGGGACAAGAAAGAAGGGATGGAATTTGTCGGTCCTGTGTGAAAGTCTGAAAAGATGGGATGGTTTAGTGCAGCTGAATCAGGGAGAACACTGTAAAGGTGTTTATTGTGTCCAGTGCCATAGAGAGGTAAATAACTGACTTGTATTGTCTTGTTGTAAAAGTGCAGCTGAGCATTAAAACAGCTAAAGAGAACTGATGTTTTACTCAGTACATCACCTGGTAAAAGTCATTGCCACAGAGATCCTTGGAAACGAAGGATTCAGCCAGTGTGAGAAAGGTTAGTTATATGGATGGTGTGACCATCCATAAATAGATACATTAGCCAGAACAGTTTCATAACAGATCTATAACCTTATGCTTCAGGGCACAAGCTAACCACTAACTGGGAACACATGCTATGTCTGGGTTATTCAAAGATACTAGATCAAGACTTTCCTGCACCTTTCTCTTCCTCCTCTGTGTGGAAATGACTACAGCCATTGATACAGGGCTATATGGGCTGTAGTCTGCCCCATGCCAGGAATTCTTCAGTGGGAATAGAAGCTCAAGCCCCTAGAAGCACTGTAGCCTAAAGAGCTGTCTGCAGCAGAATTTCTCTCTTTGATGAATATTTTTGCCCAAAATACAATGTGCAAGCACAATTTTCCTTAGGATCAATATTTTCCTGTGTTGAGATCATGTGTTTTGGTTGGTAATGTGTATCTCTCTATGTCTGTGATACCACAACTGTCTTGTTCTCTTTGTACGCTGTGGTTATTCAAGCTGCCTTCTAGCTTTTGAGCTAACGACACCATAACCCAAGAGGTGGGTGTTGCTCTGTTGTGTACAGGAGAGCGTATGACAGAGGATGAGCTGGCACTGTGTCTGACCACCCTGCTGGGCAAGCGTCCTGGGGGAGAAGGATCTGAACTGGACACCTCAGGTATGGCATTAACATTCCATGCAGCACAGAACCAGGATCGCTTCGATTCCCAAATAGAACAATTTAAATTGCAAACTCATTGCCCTGTTAGGCCACGAGCTGTCAGAAACACTCAGATGGGATTGCAAAAATAGGCATGGAGCTATAGATTGTCCTTCTCCCATGCAGCAATAGCATGGGTGCATCTAAAAATAAATGGACAATGAAATATAACCGGGACCTGACAAGATTACATCGCTCTTTATCTGCTTGCTGGCTTGCAACTGGAATTAGAAACACACAGTGGAAGGTTTACACGGCAGAGTCCACAGGCAAAAAGGAATCCTACAATATGCAAATGACAGCATTGATTTTATCCAGGCAGCAATGCTCATTGTAACAGAGCTGTTGATAACCACTGCATCTGTCTCCAATTTATGTCCCAGTCTACACCAGTCTAGAAGAGCAAACTACAACACTGGTTTCAGCCAAGGGATGCTGCCCGTTGTAACTGGAACTGCTGGGAAGTGCCCTGTGTTCGTACAACTCAAGTCCCAGGCCACGCCAGTTCAGAACAGCATCTGGCTAGGGCCATTGTGGAACTGTCCAGCTCTGCAAAGCAACTTTGAAATCCTGGGATTCCCTGGGATCCCAAAATCGCATTAAATGGCTGGAGTGTAAAAGCTGGCTCCTTGATGCTTCTGCAGTGGGGACCTAATGCAAGATGTGACTCACTGCCTCACAGATCCGACAGATTCCATCCCTCATGCAAATATATAAAGTATTAAGCTAGTACGCCAACACTTTTTCATGATTCCTTTGTAGGTCTTTAAAAGCATTCCATTCACTTACTGCACCTTATAAATTTTACTGATCTGGAAAGCCATTTTTACACTGCTCTTGTGTGTTTTGTGTTGTTACTGCTCTTCAGGTGAAGCAGCTTTGACTGAAGAAGACATTCCAGCAGAAATCACAGCAGAGATATTTGCTAGTGACATTCTTGGCTTACCTATTGCTGAACCAGAAAAAAGAACAGGAAAAGAGAGAGATGAATCTTTGATGTATGAAGACTCAGAATCATAGCAGCCACAAAGTTTTCTGCTCATTCCTATTTCCCAGTCTCCTGTCCTAAAATATCTGCAGAAAATACATCTTTTGTGTTTATTACAAAGTAAAGGTCACATAGTCTCATACTAACCAGACTCTAGAACAAGCCCCCACTTTACCACATGCCATAAGCCTATGAGGTCAAACCTATGTAGGGAAGCACTGGGGTGGCTGTAAAGAACAAAGCAGAGGGGCCACCCCATCTCTGGCTGGAACCTTCCTAGAATTCATTTGAGGTGGGTTTATGCCAGATGCAGTCTATTTTCATTATGTTAAGCCGGTATTTATTTGTGAAACCTGACAGCAAAAGAGCAATGTGAAAGTACTGTATTGATTCAATACCTTGAAAAATGCTTGGATAAGTTAGAATACATTTGTAAAGTAAAGAAAGGAATGCTGCGTTACACATAAAGGCCAAAATGGAAACCTGGTTTACAAAAAAACCCGAGTTTTTCTTTCTGAAAGTAATAGATCCAATTAGCAGTGTAATACCAATGGGACATCATCTTACTTGTGTTTGTGTAAACAGCATAATGAGGCTGATATAAGTTGCTGTGGAAAGATCAGTGAAGTGCTGTTGAACATGCTTCCTTCTTTACATCATCCTCAGCATCAATTTGAATAATAATGTAGGCCCTTAAGAAGCGTTCCTTTCAGCAGCAATGTTTTTTAAACAGATGCCTGAAAGTATGTGTGACTGTGCATTAGTACCAACAGCAAGGTGTGCACAGGATGCACGGTGATGGAGGAGTCCAGTGGTACCATGTCCACAATGGGTGTGTGACAGGAGAGTTTTTCTGCAGGGCATCACTTCGTGCCTAACTCTCTGCTCACCTACTGGAATGTTCATGTACCTCTGCTCTGGAGCCAGGCTGAGAGAACTGGGCTGGTCCAGCCTGGAGAAGAGAAGGCTCCTTAAGGGGAGACCTCAGAGCAGCTCCAGTGCCTGAAGGGGCTGCAGGAAAGCTGGAGAGGGGCTTGGGACAAGGGATGTAGGGACAGGCCAAGGGGAATGGCTTGAACCTGCCAGAGGGGAGACTGAGATGAGCTCTTAGGCAGAAGCTCTTCCCTGTGAGGGTGCTGAGGCGCTGGCACAGGGTGCCCAGAGAAGCTGTGGCTGCCCCATCCCTGGCAGTGCTCAAGGCCAGGTTGGACACAGGGGCTTGGAGCAAGCTGCTCTAGTGGAAGGTGTCCCTGCCCGTGGCAGGGGTTGGAGCTGGAGGAGCTTTGAGGTCCCTTCAACCCAAACCATGCCGTGATTCGATGAAATTACTGGCATTATTTAGGGCAGCTGAGAAACCTCAGAACCACTGGGAAAAAACTAAATGCTTATTACGGATGTACCAGGTCTCCTGTTCAACGAGGCAAACGTTCTGCTGAACAGGAAGCATCGCTAATCCCCGCGCTCCAGCCCTGCAACAGTGTCCCAGCGCCTTGCGCAAGGGGCTGCACGGGGCTGTCACTCCCCAGCCGGCTGCTCGGCGGCCGAGCTCTGCTCCGGGCACCTCCGCGACGGGCTGAGGGCTGCCGGGCGGGCGGGGGTTCCCGTCCCTGTTCCCGTTCCCTTTCCCTTTCCCGTTCCCGTCCCTGTTCCCGTTCCCTTTCCCGTTCCCGTTCCCTTTCCCGTTCCCGTCCCTGTTCCCGTTCCCTTTCCCGTTCCCGTCCCTGTTCCCGTTCCCGTTCCCGTCCCTGTTCCCGTCCCCTTTCCCGTTCCCGTCCCTGTTCCCGTTCCCTTTCCCGTCCCCGTTCCCTTTCCCGTTCCCGTTCCCGTTCCCGTTCCCATTCCCGTTCCCGGCTCGCGGCCGCCCGCTCCGTCCCCTCCCCCGCTAGGCCCCGCGCGCGCGGGCTGCCGGCGGCGGCGGCGCGGGGCGCGTGCGCAGTGCGCGGGCCCCCGGCGGGCGGGCGGAGCCGAGCCGCGCCGAGCGGAGCCGAAGGGAGCGAGCATTGTGCGGGCGGGCGGACGGACCGACGGACGCCGCGAGTTGAGCGCCGGATTCCCCGCTGAGGCCGCCGCCGTCCCCTCAGCACCATGTCGGGTCGGTCGGTGCGGGCCGAGACCCGGAGCCGGGCGAAGGATGATATCAAACGGGTGATGGCGGCCATCGAGAAAGTGCGCAAATGGTGAGCGGGCCGCGCCGCGCCGCGCCGGAACCCCGCGCCCGCCCTCCCGCACCCCTTCCCCGCGCCCCCCGCGCTGTCCCCTCACGGGGCCGGAGCTCGCCGGGCGGCCGCGGGGGGCGGGGAGCCGGCGGCACCCAGAAGCCATTTCGCTCCGGCGAGTCACATGAAGGCGGCGGCGGCGGCGGCGGCGTGTGAGGGCGAGAGGCGGCTCCATTGTGCGGCCGAGCCCCCTCCCCGTCGACCCCCGCTGCTCCCCGCCGACCCCGGCCCCCCGCTCTGCCGCTCCCGGGCCGGGCCGGGCGGTGACGGGGCGGGCGGCGGGTCGGACCGGGCCGGGCTCCTCCCGCCGCCGTCCCCTACAAAGGGCGCCGAGGAGCGGGGCCTGGGGAGCTCCGGCGCAGGGTCTGTGTGGAAATAGTGCTCAAAGAAGTATCAAAACCCCCGCAAACCCACGTTAAAAATCCCCCTGTAAAGCTTCCGAGAGTTTATTTCTGCATTATTCCCTATTTATTTATTTATTTCACCTTTCAAGTTCCCGAGCTTTGCACGTAAGCGCAGCAAACCCGAGCGGGATCGTGTCCCACAAAACGCTCCGGTGGCCGTAAATCCCGAGCGAGCGGGTAGATGCCGCTGGAATTTGTTTTAAATGCTATAATTAAAGGTTGTACCCCGTGCGAAGCAGTTCTCTTTTGTTAGGCCTTAAACGTGTTTTGGCATTTTCCCGCTTTTGTCTTTTATTTTTAATCTGCTTTTGTTATTAAGATCGACATGAGGTGTTTGAACAATGCAGTAAAACAGACCCTGCGATGTTCCCCACGGGCGAGCCAGGGGTTTTGGATGGGATAAAGAGCAGTGCCAGTGTGATTCGAGAGCAGATCTCTTTCTTCCAGCAAGTTGACTGACTGTTCCGTAGTCTTTGTGCATGTATCTTGAAATACTTTCTTTAAACATTTGAAATCCAGGGGGAAATCCTTTGGGTTAATATTAATCTGCATAACTGGTAAAACAAGGGGATGCTTTTATTGCAGTTCACCGATAACGCTTTGCTTTCAGTAAAAGAAGAGTGAAACGTAGCCTGGAACGTGTTTGTTATCGGGGTGAAATGGGGTGGTTGTGTTTTAAACGGCCTTAAGCGCATGAATGGGCCCGTTGGTTCGAGCTGGACAAAGACTCGGGACGTGTGTCCAATAACGCAGGGCACGGGATGGGGCTTTCAGAGAATCCAGCCATTGTGTGGGGAGCGGAGCAGCCCCAGCACCGCGGTTGGGTTGGTTTCAGGAACTCTCTTCTACTCGGGTGGTGTTTTGAAGCGCTGTTTGCTGACTGGCGGCAGCTTTGAAGGGTCAGAACAATGTGTAGTGATGTGACAGGACTTTTGTTCAAGCGGGAGCATTGTTGGATGTGTGGGACTGTTTTGTCTGTAGGTATTTCATTCATGAGTGCAGCGTGCTTCCTTTGAAACCTAGCTTGTGGGTTTCAGAGAGGAGTAGAAGCTTGGCCATTCAACAAAGTGTCTGATTTATTTCTTCTCTCTTGGCAAGGGCTCTCTGCCATCGTGTCAGTTGCTATGGCTTCCTCTGTAAAACAGAAATCTCATGGTATAAATAGTTTTGTATGTTTTTACCCTCAATAGAGACAACTTGCTTTAAAGGGTTCCTATAGAGCCCTGCAATGTTTCTTTCGATTATTGTCAGAAGTATTCCTGTGGCTTTTTGTCTGTGTATGTCACAAGTGTTAACATAAACCATTTTCATAAAGGAATCCTAATTTGAAGGTGAAATTTGTGATTTCCCCCCCCACAGAGTCAAGTACATCAGGGAATTAGCAAGAGAGATTCTGTGTTCTGTGGTTTGAATGGTTTGGGAAGACTTGGGTTGTTCAGTTGAACTTTACACACTAGCAATTCCTGCATCTTCAGAAGAGCCACATAGGCAATTTCCAAGTGTGCAGTTGTATTTGCATAATAGGAGCAATTTGTTGCCATCCACAGCTCTGCTGTGGAAATGCAGCCGCTGAAGATTAAAATACCTTGTATCCAGCATCTCCTAGAACAGAGTTGTTGGAGACTTGCGTGTTCGCACCGTGAGGGTGAGTAGAGAGGCAGGTTGTGCTGTCAACTCTCCCGAGCAGGCAGTGGATCCGCTGCCCAAAGCTTTATTGATCTGTGAAGGTGTTCAGCAGCTTTGCTGTGCAATATTACTGAATGCCTCTGCTGCCACGTCCACGAACGTGCCTATTGGAAAGCAGTTTCCATCAGTGCGGGCTTTGTTCCTTAGAAAATTAGCATTCATTCTTAGACAGTGAGCCCTTTGATGCAGGTGCCCTATCTCTGTGTGTGTTTGTAGAGCTCCCAGCACTTCTGGTATTACTGGAACTTAGTAGTAAACAGTGGAGTTGTTAAGGTTTTTATCTTGAGATTAATGTAACCATATCTCTTTGTTTAAACCGGTCTCATGAATGAACATCTAGTTGAGAAAACATGCAGCACGTGTCTCACAGAAGACATGGTTGCGTTGTATTTGTGTGGCAGAAATGATGAAAGGCCATGGCTAAGAGGGTAGTTCTCCTTGGTTTTAAACAGGACTTAGAATTTTTCTCACAGTCTATTTAAAGAAGTTGTTTAAGATAAATTTACCTCATTGAATTGTGAAAGGTACGGGATTGGTTTTTGTTGTCAAAGATTGATGGGTATGTGTAGATTCTAAATGGGCTGGTTTAGAGAATGTACCAGGACCCACTGTGTGGCCTTGCCTTTGAATTGCAGTATCCATGCAGAAATCCTTTGACCTTCCTCTGACCTGACCTAGGGATAGTGACAGCACCTGGTGAAGCAGAGGTGAACGTGGACAGCTGGTGAAAGGACTTACAGAAAGTGCCAGGCATTTACTGTGGCAGGGAGTCAGCTGAAGAGCCGGACATGACTTGGGATGTAGCTTAAAACAAGGCCTGTTGTGTGGCAGGTAAGGGGCAAAGTCACCATGGGCAGTGTTACCCGGTAGCATGGGTGGGGATCGCTGGCTGTGGCTAGTTAGAGGAGGATTTCTAGACAGTGCTGCTGTAGCTTTTCTGTTCACTGTCTCCATTCAGACTTGCTAAAATATTTGTGTGTGGTATGTAATGCTCCGAGGTTGAGCTTCTGCAGGTTTTGCTGCTCGTGCTTCATTCTTAAAATAGGCTTTCACTCTGGGAAGTAGTTATGACGTGGAGCTTTTTAATACGATGTCTTTGGGAAAAGACTGTTCGCTGCTACCAGGTTGCCCCCCTGGTGTAGTCTTGCTGCACTGTCTGTGTTTGCCCTCCTGCTAAGATTGTAGTTCAAGCAGTGGCAGCTGAAGTAAAAATAAGTGTATGTGCAGGAACTGAAGTGCTGTAGTGGCCCCAAAAAGCTGTTATCGTCCTTGAATTGTGATACCTTTTCTTTCTGGCTCATTATTTCTTTTTGAGCCAGGATGTGCTCTCTGACTTCAGTGGAAGTTGGGTGTGTGTTAGAGTTTTGTCATGCAGAAGCCATGTTTCTCTCTACTGTAAGAAAAGGTGCTTGTTGCAATGTGGCACCTAGCAGAACTTGCTTAAAAACTCACTGGCCTGTGTAAGTGAAAGGGGTTCTCATAAGGCACCATATTTAAACTCGGAGAGAGGCTTCCTTAACCATTAGCCTTTGTTCATTCGTGCTACATGATATTTTCTTGTATTTGCATTATGGTTGAGAAACACCATGTGTATTAGTCACCAGACAAACTCGTACCTGGCAATAGGCGTGCTGTGAAGAGGAAGCCTATATTTCAAAGAAAAATCTTTTTTTTGTGCATCTGACAGCACTTTTTGTGTCTAATAATGGCATTTTCTTTTCCATTCCCCTTTCTCCTTTGCTTGATCCCACAGGGAGGTCATAATTCTGTGATTTTCACCAAACTCTGTTGCAATGCAAGTGAGTGTGATGTGATAAATTCAGCATTATGACGTCACTTCGTGATCATCAACAGAAGATGGGGTATGTGGGAGCAAATCCTTGTGTAAATCCAGATCACTGTGATAAAGGATAGTCATGGTAAAAGGCCAAACCGCTGTGAAAGCCTTTTCTTGGATGGTAATATATTGGCAGTAAAGGCTTTCTGTTTCTGTGCCATCAAATGTTTCTAAGTACTCATTGCTGCTGCAGAAGCTACCTTGACACTTCATGATGAAGTGTAATATACACTGTTGTGTTTGCTCACCGGTATATTACTTTCATGCATGGAATTTGATATTAATCTTTGGAGCTTTAGTGTTAATAAACATAAATACATTTAAGAGTCTTGGGCTATTTAGAATTGGGGATTGGGAATATATTTATGTAAGTTCTAGGATATTAGTATGCCTCAGGCATAAGCACTGAGGAAGTGTTGGTACTAATGCTTACCCTATGTATCCTTGGCTGTCCTTTAAATGCTGTGTAGATATGGTTCAGAATTTAAAAATGCTTTAACACAATTTCAGATCAATGTAAGGGTTTGTTGCATTGATTGGTTTCTGAATTTACTGTAACTAAAATAGTTAAGATCCTTTGCAGTGTGGAAGACTGAAAGAAAAAAAATACTATTGTATATATGTTAAGTGTTGCCATTTTCCAGTGTTGTAACTCCTGAGTCATTCATGGAGGAACAGGAGAGGTTTTGAAACAAGAAAAAAAAGTGTTTTTTTTTTTTTAAAGCTATGGAGTTTGTCAGCTAGATGTGGCCAGGTAAAGTTGATAATTGCCACACTGTTGGCCATATGAACACTCAGGCTGATGGGTTTCCATTAGCCACCTTTTCCAATCAACCTATACGACAGGGGACAGTGCAATAAAAAGTATTGCCTAGTGACTGCTTAACAAAGATGTAATGGAGTTACAAAGATGGAATTCTGGTCAGGGGCTTGGGATGAATGGGTTCAACAGCAGGTCCATTTTATAGACAGGAAACCAGGTGGAGAAACTCCTCAAGGTTTCACAGGAGTTGATTAATTCCTCATTCCTACTGCAGCATTTGGGCAGTGAGAATATTTTGTAGTTTGTGCAGCGTGCAGCAAACTCCTGTTATGGGCAGCAGCAGTAAAGCTCTGACTAATGAAGAAGAAAGCCCCTGATCAGCAGGTTGGGGTGGTGCCTGTGCACATAGGATAAAAATGAGTGTTCAGAGTAGAAGTGGTTTTGGGGGTTTGGGGTTGTTTTGAAATGGAAAGGCAGTCAAAATGACGGATAATAATCAAAGCTTTATTTGCACCAAAGGCCTTAAATCCTGAAGTTATTTTACCCTGTCGATCTTCAATGTCTGAAAGTCATCATACATCTTTGTTAACAAATTTGTGTTTGTGCTGCCAATGATTTGATTAAGTTTTAGGGGAGGTTGTCTTCTTTTTTCTTACTAATACTTTTATGGTCTTAAACCTTCAATACTGTAAATGCTGACACATGTAAAATATATGAATAATAGCAGTGTGATAATGGGTTTTCCTTTTAGCCATAAGTGTTTGGAGGACTCGGATGTTGGTGTACTTCCATCACAAGATATCCTTATTCCCAATGTTGTCTGAATTACTGTGTATTGAATTCCGTAAAAAAGTCCCTATAGCTGAGGATTATCAAAACTTAAAGTGGTACTTCAGAAGCTCAAAAGAATTAAAATGTCAGGGCTAACTTTAATACTAGAAGGAAAAAGTTACTAATATAGGTTTCCTCCTGTGTTCTACAGTCTGTCCAGTGAAGATGCTGTGTGAGGCTGCTTTGAGATGCTAACAGGTATCTTGAACTTTTGGTTTTCCAGTGCAGCATCTCTGAGTAATATTTTGCTGTAGGAAAAGACTAAAATCTTGATATTCTTTAAAAGCATTTATTCACCTCTCCCCACAACCAGAACAAAACCCCAGCTGGTTTTATTTCCATAATTTCAAAGGTTTTCCTAAGTAGAAATGAGTTTAGTTTGTCTTGTATCCTAAAAAATATATATAAATATATCATGATCATCTCTTCACAATTAAGTGTGCTCCCATTACTGACATGCACTCATCTCCACTGACATGCACTCATCTCCACAACACATCTAGCGGGAGAGCTCCAAATTAGTATAAAATTGGGTTTTGTCATGCTTCAGCCAGTTAGTGTATCCAAATGGATGTATCTAAACACACTGAGGAAAAGCTCTGCTCCAGGAAGAGCAGTGGGAAAGGAATGAATCTGCACTAATTTTGTACTTTAATTAAAACATCCTTGTGGACAGATCCAAAGCTTATCAAATTGTTATATATAACATATTTTGTTTTAAAACAGGAAAGTGTCTCCTCTAAAGGGAAAACAAGTAAGATTTGCTTTAGTAGCTAAAACAAATAGTGAGGAGGATGTTTATGGCATTTGTCCAATGTGGCTACTTTTTATTCTGGAAGCCCTTTCTAAAACTGGAGCTATCACATATATATATACACATATATATTTGGAGTCACATCCAGCTTCTCCCATCGTGCAGAGACCATTTTTTCTTCTTTTTTTAAGTCTGTAACTGAATTCCAAATCTATTCCTTAAATGTGTTTTTAAAAAAGAACATTTGAGATCTCATGCCAAATCAATTTCAGATGTTCCTGAATATTTAATGGAATTGGTCTTTGTTGTTAACTTTTAATTGATCCATTTGCAGAGCTCTATTAGAAACCCAGGAACCAGCAGTGGTAATCTGTGACCTGAAAACGGATCACAGAAACATGATGAAATTTCTCTGGCATTGTGGACTTTGTTTTGATAGCCTGATGTAAAAAGCTCATGGAATTCATCCCTGAACTAAGTGTTCAGCATCCTTTCCATCTCTGCACGCTGTGACCGTGTGCCCCCCCCTAACGCAGTGACACCCTCCAGCCAGATTTCCTCCACAATCTGTCAATGTCATGACTTCATGGCTGGCTGGCAGGGCTTAGCAGAGAGTGCCATGGGTTATGCTTTTCCCTCTCTGATAGCCTCAGCCTTTCCAAGAGAGCTGGGCTCTCCAGAGTCTGAATTCTGCATCACGGCACATATTGCTACCAATAATGCTGTTGGTTCCAAGGCTGGAATTTCAGAGCTGTCTGACAGGAGTGTTGAGTGAATGTTAAATTGCTAGCAGCAAATTTCTACCCAGAAATAAACCTCAGATGGTCAAAATGCATTTAGATTTCTAATACCATTGAACAGTTTCATGACAATCAAAACACACACTGGTCTGTCTAAAACCTCTTCTGCTCTCTAGAAACTTCAGTGAAAACTGTAGGCATTAAATCTGCATTTTTAGCAGCTGTTCTTCTTAACTGTATCTTTAATCCAGCTCTTATTACTGCTACTGCAGTTACTCACTTAGTCAAGTAACAGCCCTGAGAAATCTGGAGGTTAGCAGTGCTCTAACAAGTTTGTGAAATACAAAGAACAATTTGCACAATGCAGCCCTAAAGACGATGTAATAGAGATCATCCTCCTTAATAGCCTGCTTAAATCCTTGACAACTTGCAGTAGTAGATCACTTTCTTCTGAATCCAAAGTTTAACTTCTCCTGCATTGTAATTTTATAGGGAGAAGAAGTGGGTGACAGTTGGCGACACATCCCTAAGGATTTACAAATGGGTACCAGTAACAGAGCCTAAAGTCGATGATGTAAGTATCCTGCAGATGTCTTGCTTTTTTCAGGATGCAGACACTCATGTTCAGGGACAGTCAAAAGAAATAGACTCGCTGTTCTTTGAGCCTTAAAGCTAAGTCTGGTGTGGGTCTTGCAAGTGTTTGAATAGAAGAGCTGTAGGGAAACGCTGCTCTCTGCAGATGATGGCACAGTGGGTGGCAGTCTGCCTGCAGTCAGCTTGGATCAGGTCTCAGATAACTGTTAAACAGGCAGCTTGGAACTGATTTTTGAAACCTTTCTCTAACATAATAACTGGGAGGCAGGGAGGGGAGGCTGAGACAGAGATTACTTTTCTTTCTGTGTGATGCTTTAAAGGCAAGTAGCTGGTTTGGAACTGTGCAGAGGATGTTCATCTGTGCATCACTGCTGTTTTGCTCAAAAGTAGGTGCAAAGCACTGAAGTAAAGGTAGGAAAAATCCGGTGGGACTGAGAGCACTTTGTTATTAAGATGTCCATCCCAAGCAATACAGCAGACATGATCCTATTTGTAACATATGTTTTCTCTGGACATTTTGTCTATGCATCCTGTTTATGTTCTTAGTGTTCACTTTTCATGAGCCATGCTACAATCATGTAGCATAAAAATAAGTGTAAAAGTCAAAGTTGATAGGGTTTACAATTATATTTTTCCAAATGAATGTTGCTCTAATTTTATAAATTGAAATATCGTTATAGAGTGAAAACTAACCCATGGTACCACAGGAAATTAATGATACAATAGAAAATACATCCTAAGTTTGGTACTTGTTCCTTCGGCTGTCCTGTGCTTTTACTTTATTTGACATAAGAGATAAGACCTATCCAGAAGAAAACTAGTATGTTAAATGTGAAAAATTATGATTTTTCCAGCCAAGACAGAAATCTTGTTGTAGTCAAAGCAGAAATTCAAGACCTACTTTTGATTAGCACTTTTAAACAGAGTTTGTTTCTATACCTTTGGTTGTACCAGAGATTTCAGTGACTGTCAGAGTTGCGGTAGAGCCTCTTGTATTCTTCCAGTGTTCGAGCAGCATCTCTGTGGAGTAATCCCTTATGAACTGGGAAACCCTTCCTGGTTTCTGAAAGAAACTTGCTTGTTCTTTCTAGTTGTCAAATGTTTGGTCTTGATTTTATTATTTGTAATAAATAGGGGGGAAAAAGCTGTGCTATGTATGTGAGAGAGAGGTTTAGGATACTTAGGCTCACAGCTTCTGATAATTGTTTTCCCACAGGTAAGGTATGTGCATGATGGGTACTATGGAACTTTAAAATAAGGGTTCTAGTGAGTTTCTGGATGAATTTTCAAGGTGACTGGTACCTGAAGTCAGATTCTCTGTTAAGAAGAATGGGTTTATGTCACGGTCTCTCTATGCAGAGGTTAATTGTATGTTTTGAGCCATCGTCTTTAGGTTTAGGCTCCAGATTTGCTGAAATTGGGACACTTCTTCAAGACCAGCTACTTTAGCGTCCTGCAGCCACGTTCTGTTCAGTACAAGCAGAGGCCATTGGGCAGCTGCAGTTGTAGCAGGCTTGATGCTATAAGGCTTCTGACTTTTCGCTCTGGAAGTTCTCACAGTTAAAACAAGTGCATCTATTTTGAAAAGTAAATACCAGGTAGGAGTCATCTTGGTGGTTTAATTTTGCTATGGACATCCTTTTATATCTGATTTCATCCACCTGTGAGGAGCAGACACTACTTGCTTTTTACTAGAGTAGGAAAATGGGATTTTTTTTATACTTCATGTTTCAAATGGAAGTTGGCTTTGTGTTTAGGGAACACAGATTACATTATTTGCCCCCTCCTACATGTTGTTTTGGAGGCACTTTGAACTAGAATTAGCTAGGCTCTTTCCTCCTCCTAGTTTAGCAAGGCTGTTGTAGAGCCTCACACTTTGATGCCTAACCCTTTCTAAGAAAACTTTCCAGCTTAAATTGCTCACAGTCATTTTCAGTATTTCTCTTGTGGCAAGAGTGTCCTTTTCACCTTGGGAAACAAAGAAACAAAACCACTAAACCTCAGAGAGGTTGTGTCCTTCTGAACTTTCATTTTGCAAAGCTGAGGAAGTGCGTGTTCTTTCACGTCTGTTTCACGTATTAGGGAATAAATCTGGCTTCTCTGAAGTAAAAAGACAGTTTAAAAATGAGCCTAATAATCTGTTTAAAATAGAGGGAAAAGCCCGTCCAGATATCACTTGTTGAATTTCTTCTGCAGTCTTAGGCAGTATTTGACTGTGGTTTAGTTCCCTCCTTGGAGGACACTGTCTTTTCCGAACGGATGGGTTGCCGAGCGTTCTTCCTGGAGTCAGGCTTTGAGCTGTGCTCTCAGCAGGCGGGCAGGGTCCTGCAGAAGCAGTCGGTGCAGCTGGCTCCTTCTGCTGTGAGACTGATTACATCACCTCTTCATTGGAAATGCTGCATCCCTCAGCAGAGGCAGATTTCCCACGTGATGGATGCCACTGTCTCCTCCTTTGTTTTAGTGCTTGCAGTCCATACTGTTGTTGAGTCATGAGTATGTTGTGACCTACTGTTCACACAGGACTGTCTTGCTTACACGCTTTGTTTGAGGCCAGTCTGATTTTTCTTAACCCATCTGTTAGTTTTAATGAAGAAACAGCATTCGTTGTAGAGAAGGAGGTCTCTGAAGTGTTGGTCATTGAGATACAGGTAAAAAGCTGTCTCTATAGCATTAGTATTCCACATCTGTTATCATTTCTGTTGTGCATGCATGCATATTGTCTGGGTGTATTCTGCAAGCTTCCTGATGCGAAAAGGAGAGTGTATTGAGTTTTGTAGTGGTGTGTTATGCATAAGCCATACAGTGAGCAGAGCTACAAGCTCAGGACACAAGTATTAGCACTGCCTCTCATCAGGAGTGTTCTTTCTTTCTGGTGTAGCAGAGGTTCTCTTGGCCTTGCTTTTGGAGCTCTTTTGCCTGAGTACAAAGTTATCAGCCAGCACTTGCCAGGTTCTCCAGCTCAGTTGGAGCAGGCCATTTAATCATCATACCTCAGATCCTCTGTTTGTAGAATGAGGGGTATTACTGGTAACTTTTGTACTTTTAACAAAAATTGTGCAGCTGTTTGAAGAGGAAAGACTTAGAATCATTTAGGTTGGAAAAGACCTTAAAGATCACATTTAAGTGGTAACTGTGACTATAATTTATATATAAAAACCTGTTTATTTTAGTGTTTTGTGTCATGAATTAGAAAACCAGCCCTGCAGTTACTGAGACTAATACATTATTGATAATGTCAGTTATTACGCTGGCTTTATTTCTCACTTGGAATTGTGAGATACAGAAGTAATGAGTGGAAAGGGTGTTCTATTGCAACATGGATTTCTCTGCATGGTAGTAGTCTAATTTGGTTGTGATGCCCTTTGTTTTTCAGAAAAATAAGAATAAGAAAAAAGGCAAAGATGAAAAATGTGGCTCTGAAGTGACCACTCCAGAGAACAGCTCCTCCCCAGGGATGATGGACATGCATGGTGAGTGGGAGAAGGGCAGCCCCTATTACACAGCTATGACAGTATAAGGCAACAGTGTCAGATTCTCTGTTGCTCAGATGTGTGGATGGCATGGTTGAGTCAGTGAAAACAGCATCAGATACTCATTTGGTACCTTGGAACTCTCTTCTGTGGATATACTCACAGTTGTTTAAACACTATTTTTATTTGAGCTGTGTGTGGGGAAAAAAAATTGTTAGTGGAGCTAAACCCAGAGTATCTACCATTCAAAATACTATGCTTGTGTGAAGTAGTAACTCTTGGGTTTGCTGCTTGAAGAACCAAAAGACCCCCAAAGCCTCAGTGGCACTTACTATAATTTGTGCAGGTTATGTAGGTGATTCAGGTCAAAAGAATTCTGCAAGAGCCAAGAAAGTGAAGTCTGGTTCTGAGCTGTATTCTTCCTGCTTCAGGTTGAGGAGATCACTGGGTTAAGAAAGCACTGGGCTTTTTGCTTGATAGTCAGGCACTATTAGGTCAGCTTTTTGAAGTGTGAACTGAGTGTTTACCTGGTGTTTAGGACAGAGGAGCTTGCCCAGCTCAGCTCTGTTTCAGTTTTTACCTTCTAGGTGTTTGGACAACAGTTCTGGCTGAGAATGCCATATTTGAGCTGATGAGAGGGGTTCACTTTTTAGTGGTTGTAAATTTTTCATTTCACTTTTATTTGCATTTGTATTGCCCCCTGGTTGGTTTTTGCAGTGTTCACAGCAAGTGTGCTCTTGCAGCTAAAGGATTGAGCAGGATGTTCACAGATCTGGTTAATTTTTCATGTTTCAAACTTCATAGCTTTTGCCTTAGTCAGATCATTTCATTTTCTGATGTCTTGTCTCTCCCATCCATGATGTGAATATACTGCTTGCTTTTCTATAGTTTATCATTTGTGGGTTTAAGCCACACTGTACAATTTCATTATAAACTGACACTGATCTGACTTCATGCTGCTCTGAAAAGGGATGGTCTCATCACGAGTTACGCGTTCCTGGAGTCCTTTGGATGTAATGATTGTCCAGATGCAGAGGGAATGGGATTAACTTGCATGCTGGTGATTTAACTAACAATGTTTTGCTGGGTTAGTTTTCTTTGGGGAGCAGGAAATTCCCTCTTCGGTTATCCATGGTTGTTAATCTGTTTTAAAGATTACAGGCAGTTGCACGCCACTGCTATCCATGAAATATTAGCCGAGATCTGTAAACCACTGTCACTGCCTTTCTCAGGAAGAGGATGCAGGCAGAGTATTTCCTGTTAACTACACAGGCAGTCTGTGCTGCATAAAGTTACTGTGATCCAAGATTTTGGACAATTACCACGTGGAAACTATTGATATTGGGACTGGATGTTACATTTTGACTTTGGGGTTTTGTTGGGTTTGTAGCTGTTGGGTTTGGTTTTTTACCTTCAAGGGACAACTGGAAAACTGCTCATCTGAACCTTGTAGTAATGAGTGTTTGTAAACTGCAGCATGAAGACTTTACTGGCCCTGTGTTATATGAGCTATAAAATGAGACTGTTGCGTCTCGTGATCTGTTTTACTCATACTGTGAAGTTTTGGGTTCTTTTGGACAAGATCTGAGTAAAACACTCTCGTTTTTAGTGTATAAAATTAGCAAGAGCACTTTGAAGTTCTCTGATTTTTGATAACTGCTAGAAAACTCCTGTCTTGCAGCATAAGATGAAAGAGCAAAGATAGTGGTAATGTGGGAAAAAGTTAGATGTAGTGTTAGTCTAAATGCTTGGACTGCATCCCCAACAAGCTAAGACTGTATCCTGTGTTATCAGGGAATAAATATGGAAGAATTCAGGGGTGCTTTTTATCTTGTCAAATGAGACATTCTTGGTTTTAACTCATTTGTTAACAGATGACAACAGCAACCAGAGTTCAATAGCTGATGCTTCTCCAATAAAACAAGAAAACAGTAGTAATTCAAGTCCAGCACCAGAACAGAACTTGGCAACACAAGCAGACGGCACTGAAGTCAAGTCTGATGAAACTCAGGCAGAAGCAAAGGAGCAGCCTGGTTCAGAAGGTAAGCTGAAAAGACCACCTTCCAAGCCAAACAACAACCGTTGTCCTTTAGTGTATCATTTACTTGCTTATCCATTTTAAAAACGGAATAATAACAATTTGAAAGATGGTTTCTGAATTCTCAGTGATGTCAAAATAGGTTTTAATCTCTCTGGTTTACTGGTGATGCTGTTATACAGATGGAAGGGTGAGATTGACATCAGGGTCTTTTGAGAGAGGAAACAAACAACATACTTGGTTCATTGTTGTCATAATCTCAGTCTTGAAAGAGGAAATACAATAATCTTTGAAATGGCTGCTCCTGTAATCACACGAATCTGAGGAACTATTACTTCTGTAGATCTGTGAATGTTCATTATGTAGTGTGACAGTAAAATAGAGGTGAGATACTTTGAAATGACTCTTTTAATTGTGTAAACTCGAATGTAATTGCTTTTAACCCTGCTAATTATTTATTCAAAAGTTAGCTCTGAATCATGTCCTAATTTTCTAAAAGCATTACAAGATTGTTCTGCTGTTGTGCACAGATTAAAAATACATGTGGGTTAAGAGATTGTTCTGAACCTCACTCTTCAAATGGTATTTTGGGTAATTGGAACATGCTCTGTATTTATGTTCTTGGGAAGATAACTTTCTTCATCCTATTATAACAGATAAAAGATGTCCTTAACATCATTCTAATGATTTGGTTGCAGAATTCTCCCCATAGCAAAGCAATTAAATGATGCCCTCCTGATTTAGTTCTTAGCTCAGTAGAGCCAGTAACCAATTTAAATTTAGAGCTTTTATCTCAGTGGTAGCAGGGGATGGGTTAAGAGTGTTCAGTGTTGTCATTGCTAATTGGGGTTAAAATCTGACAACTGGAGTTGTAGTAAATCAAAACACCATATCCTGCAAATGAAAACTCACGGAGCAGATTTGGGCACGTAAACAGAAAGGATTTTCTCCTAGGTCTAATATTGCCTGAACGTGCCCGTGTGAAGTTGTTACATGGCACGCGTACTCTCCTGACTAAATTTAGGTCTGGGAAAATCACAGCAAGGTCTGGATTAGTTCCAGCACCAGTTACTGTAGAATGAAAGGGAGAAGTAATGGAAGAAAACCCTTGTTATTGAGGCGGGCTTTTTTCTATTGGTCATACAGCGTGTTTAAAAAAATACTAAATAATGACTTACCTACCAAGGTGTTAATCAAACCCTTAGGGTTGTGTAATTGTTCAACTGAATAGGGCTTATGATCTTGTACATCTATCTCATGTTACTACACTGAAATTAGGGAGGTCCCTTAAAGCTACGAGACAGTTTTGAGGGGTCAGAAATGCCTAATGTGGGCTTCTTAAAGAAAACAAGTGCATTCAGATCATTTTGCTGTGTACACAAGTCATTGCAAGCATCAGAATTGCTCAGGGCTTGGCAGTTTAAAATCTGGATACCCCTGCCCAAAGGTCAGCAGCAGACTGAGTGGTAGTTGTCTGTAGCAACTGGAAGAGAACAGGGCAGCTCTGAGCTGTCTGTTGTGGAAGCTGCTCTAGGTGTGTGTTTGTCACAAGCAGATGGGCCCATCACAGGGTGCTCTTTAGCTCAAGTTGCAACGTGTACTGAGATGTGCACAGCAGAAACTGGAATTCCTTCTGACCCTTGGGTCTTGTTTCTTCATCAGTATGAACATGCTTTTCTGGTGAGACATGGAAAGGAAGATGGTTCTGTCCGAGTTTGCTGTATGTGATCTTTGAGACTACTCAGCTCTTTATCTTGAATTCAGTCAGAGGAACTCAAGGAAATGCTTATGATGCTTTTCATACAGTACACCACAAAAATATCCATTGGTTGCTGGTTAATGCATCTTCATTAACCAGTGTTGTCCAAGTAAATTTGATCTTGCATTTCTCTTCATCTAGAATGAATTGATATATTTTTTGGGTTAGGGACTTCATGAAACGTGACTCCATGCCTACTTCTGAGTATTGAAAAGGATTTTTAAATGAGGTAAAGGAAAGCATGGGTTCAGTCCTTACAGTGTTCTTGGTGTGGGTACTGAAGGAAACAAAACTGACCTCTTACAGTCAAAGGGGTTTGGGTTTGGGTGGTGGTTTTGTTTGTCTCTGCTTCTGGACATCCAGTGTCAGAACTTCCTGGGATCTGTAGACATCTGAAGTGCTGGTGTCTTCTTCAAGTGAATGGGTGCTTCAACTCTTTAAGTCTTGCTTTGAGAGAGAAAGTTGCAAACAAACAAAGGCCAAAGAAGCAAACAACAAATTAAAACCCCAACCAAACAACAAACAAGCAGGGAAACTGGAAGCAGGGAAGAGCTGTAACAAGCTGGAAGACTCCACAAGCATGCACCTGAATTAAAAACTCTACAACCTTAGTGGTTAAGCTGGTTACATTCCTAAAGTTCATCTTAAAAGCAGTATCAAGAAGAAAGTGGATTGCAAATACATGTCTGAATTTCGATTCAGGTAATAATTCTCTCTCCTTAGCAATGCAGTTTTAGATCCATTCATTATCACCGCTCAGCCCTTTTTGTAGCTGCCCTTCTGGTTTGAAGCAAGTTGCTGTCAAGTGGGCAGCCCCTTTGCAAAGTTGATGTTGAAACTTGTTTGCGAATAGCATTGACATGATTCTCTGTTAGCGGGTGTGCGGGAGCTTAGCTCCCTCTAGGGACTGAGCCCAGCAGTTGTGTGTTGCCAACATCGTTAATGTTTTACATGTGGGGGAAATGTATGGGTTTGGAGTGTTAGAATTGAGAAGATACCCTAAAAACTCCTGCTGAATGCTTAAATTTATTTGCTGAAAATTATTTCTTGTCATTTCAGATACCTCTGATGAACAGAATTCACAGTCTTCAGTGGAAAATTCCATGAATAGTTCAGAGAAAGCAGAAATCCAGTCCTCTGGAGAAAATGATATAATTACAGAGGCATCTAAAAACTCTCAGGTAACTTTCAGCACAAAAGCCCGGTTACTGGGAATTTGGAAAGGAGTATTTTTACTAAACAGCAAATGTAAGGAGGCCAGTTCTATATTTAGACTCATTTCCAAAGGTGAGGAGTGGAGTCGTGGGGTATTCCATGGCCATGTATCTGGTTTTGTGGCTCACTGGACTGGCTTCTTGCATTTCACATGGTTTGAACAGTAAGACTGGATTGGTCTGGTTTACTTTTCACTTTCCTAAACCAGGCTGTGTTACTTTTGTAAGGGAATATTAAAACTTAATGGTAATAAATGGCTTGGACCTAACCTATTGGACAGGCCCTTCCGAGGGCCAGTCAGAAGTAAAATACCTTCTACAAAGTTGAATGCATATAGCAGTCAGGGAAGTTAATTTTGGTGGGTAAGATGTTTGGATGTTCTCTCACTGCTCTGCTGGAAAACGGTGGGTGGGAGGAAGAAGTTACCCTGGGCTTATCCTGCTCACACTGAGACCCTCAGGCAAAGCACTGCTCAGTCCACTGGTTTCCCTTGGGGACGGGTGGTTTGTTTCAGTGCACTCCTCACACCTTCCAAACCTTGCGTGTTCTGTCCTGTAAAGATTGTTTTGGCTGCAGCAGGAGAAAACCCATGTGCGCTTGGTGCAGGTTGTGCTCGAGCGTGGAGCTGAGGGAAGGCCGGGTATAACCATGCATCAAGGCTGTTGCTTGGAATACTCACTGTGGTTTTTAGCCTGGAACTAGAATTTTGCCCTTTGTCTGTAGACGACAAGAAGTGTAAAGATGTTTGAGGTAAGATGTAAATAGAGGAGTGGCTTCAGGAAGCAAATGCACTTGGTCATGTCATTTCTCGCATCCAGGGATGCTTTGTGCTTTACAAATGCCACACCAGGGATTTGTTCTTGCTTTTTGTTTGCTTTGTGGTGCCTGAAATTCAGTGCAATGATAACACGGTTGTTTTTCTTTTCCCCCTCCTTAAGGACTCTGAAGGAGTGCCACCTTCTAAAAAGATGAAAGTAGAGGCTTCCCAACAAAATGTTGAAGAGATTTAGACTATAGATTTTTCTGGTCAGTTTTTATGTAAGGTACATCAGTGGGCTTAATTCTAGAACAACCTTACTTAAGCATCTTCTCTTGGATGAGGACAGAACTCCTAACTTTTCAAGTTACCAAGCAAAAATCCAAGAAAGCCTAACAAAGGTTTAACTTCTCAGACACTGAAAACTTTCTTCCTGTGAAACAAACGTTGAGAACTTTTAAGTTACTGTCTCTGAAATGGTTGGAGTAAACAACTCAGGAGGGGTCTACGCACTGTTTCTAAAGTCAAAATTACAATTATGTTGCTGCTGTATTATTTTTTTTGTGTGTTTTTCATTTCTCTATTTAACAATGTAAGATATTTAAGGATGGTACAGGTCAGGTATTAGCTTTCATGTGAAGTTCATTGTTCTGGCGTGACGTCTGCTTTTGTTTTGTGCCTTGTGTTCTGAAAACAGTGCTAACTTTTAAAGAAGTTGTTTTGCAACTGTCTCCTTTGCAAAGTGGCCTATGTTTGTATAACGCCATAGAGTGAGGCTTGTTTCTCTTTTCTTTTCCTTTTCTGTTTGGGGTTTTTGTTTTGTTGTTAATTTTTAAATCCCTGGTGCTTCAATTTTTAATACAGGTCAGGAAGCCATTTTCACTCTTGGAGTCCAAGGAGAAAAAGGAGCTTGATATTTTATGTTAGCAGCTATAGTGGAGATCTTTTATGAATGCATGGCATTCGCAACTGTAAATTTGGTCTTCTAAGTACTTAACTTCATCAGAAGTTAACATGATCTGTTTACCATTTATAGTCCAGATCTGAATATATACTATAACACAGCAGTTAAAATACTTAAGTATTAGGTCCAGATCTCTGTACTGGGTACAACTTGCTTTACAGAAAACTTCCACTATGTATATAAATAGGATCAAAGGGATTAATGCACAGTGAATTTATTTTCAATTGGTCTTTTTTGATATCATGTTTTCACTGAACTGGATTTCACTGTACTGTTTCTGTATGAGATGTTTACTTCTATGTTCCAGGTTAATACTGTGTTCGGGGGTTCCTTTTTCCTTTCAGCAAGTCTTGTAAATAAGCCTTGTTGTTTCCATAGTCCCTACATCACTGTTAGGTTCTTCCTAACATTGGAAAAGGTTTCTCCTTTTCCAATGATGCTGAAGCGTGCTAATGTGAAACACTATGGACAGGCACGAAGCATGTGCAGCTCCCTTCCAGTTGGTGGCATGCAGAGGTGCAAAACCGTCTGCATCAGGGCACAGGGGCCTGGTCTTACAGTGGGCTTTGTGCTTCCAGGGTGAGCTTCCAGTTAGAAATACCCGGTGTTGGTGGGAACCGCTTATTTCTTCCTTCAGTGCACGCACATGCATGTACATACAGATGGATGTACACACGTGTCACTGCATCAGGCCCTGAGTCTGTCTTCACTTTGTGTGGGAGATGGAACTTGTCGTTTAAAATATGATCTCACAGCTATGAAAACGGTTTATAGTTTGTAAGCTAAGAACTGTAAATACTTTTTTAAATGGGGAGGGGAAAACCAACATTGCTTCCAGTTGATACACTTTGAGGATTAGCTCTTCATTAAGCTTATTTAGTTCTGGGTTCTCCAATAGTGAAAATGGCTTGTACTTAGACTACTGTTGCTTTTGCAATTACCACTTTATTATGAGAAACAATAAGGGAATGGGGGGAGGGAATAGAAGGAGGGTGGAGCGGGGAGCCAATACTGACCTTCCATAGGATGTTTGTAGGATTGAACGCCAAATAACGTCTGACACTCAGTTCCAGAACTCTTCCTTTATGTTGAAATAAAACCTTTTGGATTTTAACTGAATAAAAATTGGATTGCAAATCATTCATGAAAACAGTGTGCTCCCTAATAAGTTTTTGGGATTTCTGGTCTGATCATGAAGTCCATTCTGAAAATAAGGAAATGAGGAGCCAAAAAAACCCACAACCCCTATATTTGCACAATATATGCAATGAAACGGTAGAATTCTCTCTTGAATTGTGTGTATGCCTAAAATGTGGATAACTGGTCAATGACGATTGATTTGTATGTATATTGCATTCAGATTTAAGTGATATTTTGTGAGAAGTTCTATTGATATATTAAATGGGCAAATCTAGAAAGATTCAAACGTAAGAATATTTTTGCTTTGCTAACTTCCTGTTGTTTTTAATGCTAAAACAAGACGAGTCTGATGCCACCTCTGACACTAGTCATGTTTACTAACCCCGGTCTTCAGGTGCATCGCAGCAAGTTTTTAACTTTAATTTTGTAGACGTTTCCAAGGGAGTAAATAGACTTTTCATTTAGAAACTAATTCCTGTACTTTAGGAAGAAATAAAATATATAAATAGCACTAAAAATACCTCAAAATTTTTCATTAGATAGAAGCATTTATTGGCATTATTGACATCAACAGGTTTAATTATCAATTTCCTTTTCTCTCCTGTGGCTTCTGCTCAGAACTGTTCGTTGTTCTGTGGCTTACAAGACAAGGCATCATAACCATATTTATTCCTAGAGGCTTTATTTCTGAAGTAGTAATGGTTTATTTACAGCTTATACAGAATACATTCAGAACTGTTCTTTCTTTTTTTAAACCAGAGATTCTAGTGACAACAGACAACTGAACAAGCAGATAGATTTGGGTTCCTTAGACCCGTTATTGTCAGTCTCTAAAGGAGGAGACTTTGACATTATCTGGTATGAAGAAATCCAAAATAGTGTCTAAGACTGTTATTAGTCTTTTTTTGAAGTGCCTGATAACATTTATGGGCCAACGGATGTGATTAAACACATTTTAATGCCAGAAAGTACAGATGGGACCAAACCAGAACATCAAATTCAAATCAACCTAGGGTTTGAAGCCAGATTTAAATCCAGCTTCTTTTTGGTTTGGACCTATCTCTACCAGAAACTGGGTTTATGAACTCACTGTAAAAGGGTTTATTGAAAGCATTGAGACGTGGAGCAGAAGGAGAGATGTAATTTTCTTCAAGCTGACTGAAAGTTCTCATACAGCTGACGTTTTAGAAATAGTGCAAATATCAAGAAGTGCTTCCTTGCTACAATGCTGAATGTTGGAGCTTCAGTTACAAATAAATACAAAAGTAAAAAAAAAAAAAAAAAGAGGAAAAAAAAGGAAATAAAAAATAAAAGACAAAAAAAGAAACTCGAAGCAAGTGAATTAGCTGAGTCTGTGGAACACGTGGGAAGGCCTTCTGAATAAGCGATTTACTCAGCCAAACATTTTATAGCAGAACTATTCCTTGGAATTTTTATGCTTGGGAAAGTAGTTGTTAAACATTCCAAAAAGTGCTGGCACTTAACAAAACAACAAAAAAAAAATCAACAAGGCAGTCTAAAATACTGGTTTTGGGTGGCTCTCTTCATACATCAAACATTGTCATGTTTTGGAATGTTCTTTCTATCTAAGGGCCTGTTAGAAGGTGTAAAGATTTTTGTTTTCTTCAATACCTAATCGTTTTCCATCTTATGATTTGTGTGTGTGTGTGTTGTACAGCAGTATAATTTTTCACTTATTTATTCCATCGGTAGTTATGGTTTGTACAATGTACAATGGTTTCATTTCAGAAATAAAATAAAAAAATCACAACATGAACAACTGTGTGAAGAACTTTTATCACAAAACTGAAGCTCAGTTTGGGTTTTCTTTTAAAATTCACAATAAATGTCTGGTTTTCGAAGTTGTATTTTTAAACGTGCATTCTGTGGTGGGGTCTCATTTGGTATGTTTCACCTTTGAGTAGACTAAAGACCTGAGAGGGGTGGGGATAGTTTGCTGTAGCAAATAAATATGGCCAATGTAATTACAGCAACCTGCAGGATAACTTGGTCATTTAAGGTGCTAACGTGCTGTGGCAACTGAAATTGGAGTGAGGAGAGCACAGTGTGGAAACATGCTTCAGTTTGGAAACATGCTCAAAGTCTGATGCTGGCAAGGGTAAAACTCCTGGAGAGTTTTGGAAAGATTCTTTACGTTCAAGAGGGATATAAATATCCAGTTTATTTTTAGTGTTTGATGTGCTCTGTCCCAAAGTAGCCTGTGGTTTCACAGACAGCTGAACTGGGCTGCTGGCTCACCCCTACCAGAAGGGTGAGCCACAGCGAGCTTGCCTGCTCCCAGCTTGGTTTTGTTGCCTCCCTTGCATTCTACTGGGTGCTCATAGCATCCTCTCCTCAACCACTTGAATTTGTTAACCTGGGGAGAAAACTGCTCATTTTAGGGTTTTTTTTTTTTTCTTCTCTGGATTATTAGATTAAATCAGCAAGCTTATATAAAGGAATTGTACATAGGGGGAACTGGAGAGAGAGAAAAGAACAGGTAGAAACAAGGATGTAATTGAAGATGGGTCCCAGAAGTAAAGGCCTCTGACCAGGTAAGGCTTGTGCTGGTAAAGGGTGAAGGAGCAAGCAAGAGCATAGCCTCTGAGCAGGGCATGGCTCTGGAGGCTGGCCCTGTGGTTTGCCCAGGAGCAGGATGGGCAGAGGAGCCAGCGGGGTGGTGAGGGATGGCTGCACTCCAGTGCCTGCAATCAGCCCCACAGCCAGGCTGTGAGTAAGATCCCTTCAGCTCTTGTGCCTCATCAGAATGGGAATGCTTATCTTCCTGTCTGTAGATCTAGGAGGGTAATCTCTTACCACTAAGTGTTGTGGAGTACACTCTGTGTGTACTTTTAAACAGCTTGACTCTGTTCAGTGTGTTACAGCTGAATTCTAAGCCAGTAAATAGCTGTCTCCTCCTGTGCTAAAAGCCTGTGCTGTTGAAGGAACATCAGAAGATGGTGGCCTGTGTTTCACCTTGCACTGCAGATTGCTGAAAAGAAACAGTTAAGAAAGGCAACATACTTAAATGATGCTCCTGTGGTTCCTTGGTGTTTCCCTCTCCCTCTTGGAATTACTGTGGAGGAGGAGAGAATAGCTGGGAGCCTTGACCTGTTGCTGATCACCTTAACGCTGCTCCTAAAAAGGCAATCCAGGAGGTCTGTCTCGAAAAGAACTGGATTTATTTTGAGGAATGCTGCTTTCCGTGCACCTGCAGTATTTACACCGAGGAAGCTAGAGGAGAAAACCCTGAACTGCATCAAATCTTTGAGCTTAACACTGCTACCCCTGTTCTAAATGATGGGTTGGTGTACTGCTAACTGCTTAGAAAAATGCATTGCTACCTACTGACTTTATTTCAACAAGTCACCCCCCTTTTCATACAGGAAGAAGCAAGTGTGGCTTGCATACAATTTTGTGAGGTAGATGGATAGTCTGATGTCATGGAAGTTCTATATCCTGCCTGATGCGTGATTGGGGTTTTCTTCTTTGTTTAGTTGAGGTTTAGTTCTAAACAAACTATATGGGTGATTTAAAATAGATATTGTAAAGCTATGAATGTTGTTTTGAAATGTTTTCATGTTTAGGACTTAAAGTACTCCCATCAGGATGCCTTGCTGGGAGGCAGCATTGGGATTTTTTCTGTCTTTATTTTAAGCCAACATTAATATAAGGGAGCAATAATCAGCTTTGAAGCTAAATATCTCTGTGGCCTTTTCTGAAGAATTTAGCCCTGTGTGATGCTGACTAAGCTAAATGTTAGTCTTGAGTTGCAAGGATTTCTAACAGCCCTCACATGGTATGACCATGCCTTACTTCTCCTTTCATGTGTGCGGAATTATTTGACCTACCATTCCTGCCCTAAACCCAGTGACCTATCTTGGTTTCATGCTCTCTAATGGAAAATACTAGATCACTGCAAGGGCATAACTGTGATAGTGCAGAAATGCCTCTTCCCCCTGTGCCCAAGACTTGCTGTGTGTCTCCTGAGTTTTCCTTGATCTTACTTCTAGTTTTACAAAGCAGAAGCACGTGGCAATGTAATGTTTGTTTAGTTTGGGTTTCTTCCCTTCCTGAGTATGACTATGGTTTTTGCTTTTAAGTATGACTTCCTAGAACTGAGAGAATATAAGCAATTTAGTACAAATGGGGTATCCCACCTAGAACACAGATGCTCTGCTGGTGATGGAGGTTTGCTTTACAGGGCAAGCTAGAGATCTTTCCTCTTGACTTGGTACAGCCATACATATGTATATGGGCTCTTGTGCTGTAAGCTGCTGTTCTCTCCCCAGGCTAATACATGTGCTGTCGCTGTGCTTTCATGGTGACTTACAGGATCCATTGCTTCCTTTATGCTTTTAAGCAGGGTGAAATCTGATCTTTGCTGTCCCTGGATCAACCGTGCAGCCTTTACGCACGTACTAGCAGGTACCTGGGGTAGGTGTGAGCGGCAGGCTGGCAGTACAAGCTCTGTCCTGACCCTTTCTCTGTAGCTGCAGGCTGCTTCTGGAGCAATTTACTGCATTAGTTTAAAGCCATTAAATGTTCCTAGCGCAGTCACTCTCATCATGCTTCAGGCAGCTCCGGGCTGTCCTCTGCGTCTTCTCATGGTCATGAGTCCCTTCAGTTTAGGAATGTTTTCTGAGCCCCTTGACATCGTCCTGCTGGATGGGAATGCCACG